GCATCAAACGGTGCTTTGTGTGTCGAATAGTGAGAATGAAACATTGAAAAGAAATTTAGCTTCAATCTTACCTCTTGTTATGGCTCCCTTTGCTTTGTCAACCAATCCACCAACACATTCAATTTGCTTCAAGTTGAAAAATAGGAACGCATAAATGGTACTTAGTTTGGAATAACCAAATTGAATGAATTGAAATGTAAAATTAATGGATTTTTGAAACAAAAAAAAAACATTTGCCAATATAACCTGGTGGATTGACATTGCTTCAAATTTGGGGTAATTAATCGCGTGGTATATTTTTTTTGGTTTTCCTTCGTTTTCGAAAAGTCAATTTGTATGGAAAATGAAAAAATACTCTTCATGTCATCGATCGACAAAATACAAAAAATATACAGAAAAATTTGTAAGTTACCACGAATTGGTCTCCCAAAACCGCAACCAGACCCAAACAAACTAAACGGAGAGAAAATATTGATTAAAAGACAATGAGTGACTGAAATCTCAAGTATTGTCAAAAATAAAAATTTAAAAAAAATGAAGGAAAAAAGAACTAAGAAGAGACTCACCCATCAATTGCTTAGACATGTTTATAGTCGAATCACTTGAACAATAACTTAATTTTCTACGATTTTGGTGCTTGATTTATAGTCAAAAATCAGATCTTGTAAACATGTCATCATTATGACACGTACAGCAAAACAAAATTCCTTACGACTGAAATCGAAAACAAATTATTTGAAAAGATGTTTATAATTCGAGCTTCTTGCGTCAATTTCCGCGTTTCGTTATTTTGACAGGTGCAAATGTTTGGATATGTAAATGAACTCGTATTGACGCACAAATTTTTCTGGCTGATTTCAAAAACAAATTATTTTTAGACAATTTGTTCTTCATTGGAGCTTGTGGTTCTTAGTTATGAAAAATTCCAGGCGAATAATGAGTTCATTTATATATCAAAACACCTGCACCTGTGTATTCCAACCGCCAATAATTGGAAAAATTAACAAAACGCGAGAATTGACGCAAGAAGCTCGAATTAAAAACATCTTTTCAAATAATTTGTTTTCGAATTCAGTCGTAAGCAATTTTGTTTTGCTGTACGTGTCATAATTTCATGCATTTTCAGTTGAGTCGATTTTCAAATCGAATATTTGCGATACTTACATGAATCTCCGGGACTTCTTAGAATCTTCGAGGAAAACACATTTACCTATTTATCTATATATTATTGTGCGTAGCACATTTTTGTACACGATTAAAAACATACTTCCACTCAACCGATTTAGCTCGCACTTATACCAATCGAAAGGTAATGTAACGTAGATTTGCAGAAAAATACTAAACACTCAAAAATGTCAGTGCGTATTTGAGTTACGCACGTTTATGTGAGCATGTGTTTTTGGATCCGTTCATTATTTTTTTCAAGTTTTTCGATCGTTCGACACCAAAATTGTGGTTTTTCATACTTTTATGAGTTGGTAGTTCTATCCCAGAGAATTTGACATAGTTAATTCCATAATTCTTAGAAAAATATAGAACATCAAAAGTGCATTATCACGGAAGACGATAGTCCGACAAGTGACGCTCCATCAACTGTGCATTTCAAGCCAAATATCAAAAATGCCAGTTTTTGCGTCACGAGTATATACAATAAATATGCTATTTTCTCAGGACTTCAGATCTCATTTTTACCACTTTAAATCATTTCAGAGCTGTTATAGGCACCCAATCGGTGCCGGCACTTAGATTTTGAGTGCCGCATCTAGTACAATCACAAAAAATAAATTTCGATAATTTATACTAATTTCATATTTTTTTCAGCAATATAAAATCATTTTATTTCTTTAAAAATAACAGCTCTGAATCGTTTTCTCGTTGAAAATTGATTGGATATAGCGTTTTCCCAAGCATTTTAGACCCGCCTTAACATAGTTTTGGATGAATTCTTCAAAAAAATTCACTTTTTTCATAAAAATCACATAAATATTGCCACGTGTCTATGAAATTTTTGAAAGTCTTGTAAAATGACAACGACCCGCTATTAGCAGGTGGATGTTTGAGTTGATCTAAGGTGAAAAATCAGTTTTTGCATAAAGTTCAGGATTTTTAATCATTTTGGACCATTTTACACATTATTGAAGATGAAATTGAATTTTGATGATACTATTTCTGCTTTAATTTGGACGAAAATCATTTTTGAGTAGTTCAAGCCTTTGATTTAAGATTTTTTTGCCATTTTAGAACCCGAGGGTTAACTTTTTAACTTTGACACCCGGGGGTTAAATATTAACTTTTAACCCTCGGGTTAAATATTTAACCCCAACAACATAAATTGACCGATATTCCAATTGTTCACTCAACATAAGATCCAAATTTTCTTGAGGCACAACAAGTTGTACTTTTTAAAGTCCTGATGACAAAAATTAGTTATGTCCATTTATTGTGGTAATATTTAAAAAAATAAAAAGAATTACATTGGTAATCCCGAACTTTTCCGTACCGTTGTCCGTAGGTACTTTTTGTTATTTTTTGTGAATTTTCTTGAAATAAAGGCAGTGAAAATATAATAAAGAAAATAAAGTGAAAAATCGGTCATTTTAACTAAAACTTCGACAATTTTGTATGAGAGGTACCCGAAAACCGATTCTCATTGGCTTTAAACTTTCTGAGGTTTCATTTTTTGGAGAAAAAATAAGATTCTGAAAGTTTCATGTTGATCGCATTTGCAGAAGTTTGGTTTTTGGCCCTCAATTTTTTCCAAGAAAATTTCGACAAAAATTGAGGACAAAAAATCAAACTTCTGCAAATGCGATCAATATGAAACTTTCAGGATCTTATTTTTTCTTCAAAGAATGAAACCTCAGAAAGTTTGAAGCCAATCAGAATCGATTAACGGGTACCTCCCATACAAATTTTTTGAAAATTTGACTAAAATTACCGATTTTTGGACAATTTTGTATGGGAGGTACCCGTAAATCGATTCCAATTGGTTTCAAACTTTCAGAATCTTATTTTTCTCTCAAAAATGAAATCCCAGAATGTTTGAAGCCAATCGGAGTCGATTTACAGGTACCTCCCATACAAAAGTGTAAATTTTTTGAGGTTTTTCTTAGGGCAAGTACCCTAGGATCAAATCGAAAATGGCTCATCTTCGATCTTAAACTAAGTTTTTCAGATACAAAACTTTTGGCATTTCCAGATTTTGATTATCTCAATTATTTTTTGAGTTATCGTATTAACAAACAGCTACGACGACAACGACGACGACGGCACACGAACGGAAAAGTGTCTCAAAAAGTGATTTTCTACGCGTTTCATGCGTTTTTATGATGATCTAAGCTAATTTTACGAAAAAAAGTTTTCGGGACCAATTCCTATACTTTCCCTTAACACGTTGTGTACGGAAAAGTAAAACGCATTCGACTCATTCAAGTTCCGCTTTTACGTCTCCTATGATTTACAGACCACTTAAATCACAACAATGTTCTTTAGATATAGTCAACAATAGGTTGAATACACAATACTAACTAAGGAATTTACTTATTTGTACTGTTTTCATTCGTTTTTATTGCGAAGAAGATAGAAATACAGCCTGTAATGATTAAAATTGTGAATGTTATAACATAGTTTTAGTTAGATAAATGAATCAACATACCGAATAATAATGCACGGTTGGCATAAAACGGCGAGGAACACATGCATGCAAGTAAAATTCCCACGAGATTGCTCCCAAAGAAACCACCCAGTCGGCCGACCATTAAAATCACCTGGATATTAGAATAAAATGGGTAACCCATAGAGATAGACCTTAAAACGGACTTCATAATTTGACCGTACAAGGGGGTGAGAGCTTCAGTGAGACGACTGATTTAGGGCGTTTGGCTTATTCGAATTCCATGTAAATAATTCAATATTTTGGGATAAAAATGACTGTGTATTTAATGAACAAGAAATTATCAGACATGCTTGGAAAAATGTTTGATAAAATAATGGAAAATTTTGGCAATAAAACATTTTTATGATCACGAGTAACTATGCTATTTTTGTTTCTAACCATGATCACGAGTAACTATGCCATTTTTGTTTCTAACTGTCTACTTTAAATTGACATACCAAAGTATGTAGTCCTACAGATAAAAAAATGAAATGAACACATTGAAAATAAGTAATTTCATGTGTCGCTATTAACCCGAATCTTATTGCGGTGGTCATATGTTCACAGCTGGAGACAACTTTACTTATGAGCCTATGAAAACATAACCAGCAAACGTACGATCAGGAGTAAGCTAGACTTGGATAGATAAAAAATGTCTCTTTCAGATAAAGTGTCTGACTAATTGATATTTGATCGAATTTCAAAGTTACAGCATTGTAAATTTTGGCAATGGAAAAAGTAACCATTTTTCGAATTTCCAACATTAGCGAAAACTACATTATTTATTGGAGGGTTCAATAAGTCTTTGGCCTGACAACCAGTTAGCGCTACAAATCAAAAATCTCCTTATTTTTGACAAGTACCATCTGTTTTTAGACTACACACCAATATTAAATGGAGAATCTGTCACCTTGACATGTGGTAATATAGCGGTTTACCCGATGTAGAGGGGAATTTAACCTCAAACTGGATTAATTCCTATATAAATATATGGCGCTCTCTCCGCTATATATTTATGTAGAAATTCACAACCAAAATATTATGACAAAACTCATAGTCCTTACACATTTTTTTAAATTTAATTTCCAAAATGCAAACATTTTTCAAAATGAATCGTCCAAAATAAAATTTTCTGAAATAAAATGTTACACATTAAATGATATTTTTCCATGTTTCAATTCTTGCAATCATTTGTTTATGAAAACAAACGCGTCAAACATTCTCACACAAGTGAAACAATTCATCTCAATAGCAGCAATTTAGTGAGTGAGTCCCAATGAACATAAATATATTGAAACAATCGCAGGGATGCCAACAACTGTCAAATGGTCGGAAATTTTAATCTTTGATAGTACATAGTTTCTTAATTTATCACAATTTTATCATACACAGTCTTTTATTTGAGCCTTATAAGGAGATAATAGAAAATATTACTTTTACTCGCGAAAGTAGTAATCTACTTAATCTACTAATCTTATCATAATTACCAAGTAATCTTCCATGATAAAAATTCCGTACATATATAGTCCTATCACCATTATTTTCGATCAATAAAATTCTTAGACTTGACTTGTTAACGAAGGGATCGATTTTACTCTGTGGTAAGTATTCGAAACTGAACATTTATTTATATTATTTGATTTAATACTCACTATTTATCTGGGTTGGTACGTAAGAAACTTGATCGTGCATCTTACATTAAAGTTACGTATTACATCATGTAATTTACATGAATTTGTAAGAAACCTGTAACAAACTCTGAAGAATGATTTTTTCATAAAGAACTAATGAAAAAAACAAAAGATTTTCGATTGGAAATGAAGAAAATTTGTATTCTATTTTAGTTTTGTTCTTTCGTTATGTAAAAAATTAATTCTGATGATGAACAAAAAGTGAATTAAATATACTTCATGTAATTATTTCATTATGTAGTCAACGTTTTCAATCGTCTTCTATCAACTATTTATGGAAATATTTGCATAGTGATTCGGTAACTCTGCATTTCCATATAAATATATTTCCAAAAATAGTTGAAACTTTTTATTAAAAATTTATTACAACATTATTTGAATCAAATATAAAAGCATGCAAAAATTCATTTGTCTACACACTGTTATCAAGTATCACTGCAAAAAAACACACTCTTTATGAAAAAAATAGCTGGTGGTTTCAAACTTTTGCATGAATAATATATTTATTAATTATTTATCAGCTAACGCTGTAGAACGAGCATGTATGTACTCTGTATATTTTTAATGCTCAAAACAAACGAGAATAGTGTCGGTTTTTGTCTATAACTCTGCGATTTTTGAAGCGTTTTGGAGTTTATTACATGCGTTGAGGTTTCTTGGATGTATGGATGTATAGATTAGAATGGGGGTATTGGTCAAGGGCGTAATAATCGTCCAAGAGCAGAACCGTCGCGTAGATCAATGATCTTTTGCGAATACCACCCAAAGATAAAATGTCAAACAGGTGAGGTTTCTTATGTAATAAACGTAAGATACATGTTTCTTACGTAAATTACTTACACGTCGCTCGAAATACGAAAATTTACCAACCCAGCTATATATAAATAGTATTTATTATTTTTGATTCTTGTGTTACCGGGTAGTTACAAGCAGCGCTTGTGCAATATAATTCACCTACGTGTGGTTTTAATTAACTTTTTTTTAGCATAACGAATTTTAAATATTATAAACTGACCGATTTCACAGAAATGTGCAAAATTCTTTAAAAAAAATCAGATATCATGGATAATTGAAGTGTGTAAAAAATACCAAAAATGTTGTATAAAAGTATAGAATAAACCTTCTGTTGTGCTTGATGAAATCCCCGAGAAATACTTCTTTTTGGTATATTTCTGGAAGAAGTCACCCTTTTCGATAATTTGGGATGAGAACTTTCACTTTCTGACCAATGTGATAATTAAATCGATGTTAAATTATACACAAACTACTAAAAGTTCACTTGAACAAAATTCAACTAACAAATTAGAAATTAGCAGTTGGAACTCACTTAAATTCACATTGAAATAAAAAAAACTATCGAATCGAAACAAAATCATGTTTTCTAAAAAATCTATTGCATTGGTAATACAGTAGAACCTCGATTATCCGTCCTCCCATTATCCGTCACCTCCGTTAACCGTCACACCTTTTCAAGGTGGAAAAGTTTTTTTTCAGTTCATTTTTCAGTTTATTTCACTTGAACATACGAATAAAGTTGCCAACTAACTTTCATAATCAAAATCAATTGTGTGCCCCTTGTACATTTGCACAATAAGATTTGAAATCAGAGGCTTTGCGTTTTCGGTACACTTCTCGTATATACAAGATTGTCCAATATTTTGGACAATGCACCAAATCTGTTCTCATATCTGTTGTATATTTTTTACATCACCTTTATTTTCATTATAAACTAATTAGAGAGTATGGAAATTTGGATTATTTTGTTCTATTTATATGAAAGTCTCGATTATCCGTCTTTTTCGATTATCCGTCAATGCGCTGGTCCGGTGTCTGATGGATAATCGAGGTTGTACTGTATGTATATCTAAAAAGAAGAGTATAAATATTATATGGAGAAGTGCCCACCGTGCAAACTGTTTGATATGAAGTTGATTCAAAGTATACATATTCTAATGGCGTATTTGCTGCCATAGGTAGTTCATGTCATAGGTACAAGATTGTATATATTGTGTTTGGCAAAAAAAAGTATATCAATTTTTCTGTTTATGATTTTCGTTTTGTTACATTTTATTGTATTGATTTACGTCACACCGTATCCAACCGTGTTCCACTGTCTAACGCATTTGCATGTGTATTGTTTTTAACTTAGCACTTTCTCATTTTGCTTTGTTCTCGTTCCCGCATAGACGGTGTACGAATCGCTCTATGAACAAATTCGCATTAGTTGTACTTGAAATTGCGACTGAAGATGATAGCTTGTGTCTATCGAAACAATTGTATCGCTGAACGATATTAAAATTAAAGTGACAAAAAGGTTTATTTAAAGAGAAACAATTACTTGTTTTAATTCGTAATAATTGTGTCATTTTGTGGTCAAAACAAAAAGAGAATAATACTTTTCAGTAGTAGTTGCCTATGTACTACAATCGCTGAAAGTTTGAAAAAGATCGGACGATAAACTTATTTTCACATATGTAAAAATTACATATTTAATACATATATGTACTTAGTATGTACAATAATAATATGACATACAAATAAAATTGATATGTATTTCATTAAGTTATTGACTTAATTAAGATGTTTTTATTTATCACACACGACAATTACGTTAATTTTTGAAACATTACGTCAACGATTGAAATCGTAAACGATCGCAATCGTCCGCTTAGTAAAACGCAATTCAAGAAAGTTACAAATTGTACTTATAGCATTTCAATAACAAATTATCATTCACAAGAGAAATTCGGTCATTGATACAAAGAAATTTAATTGGATTAGGTTCGCTTTCAATCGACAACATGAAATTTCTACTCCTGGCTTCAATTTTTATGATAGAGTTTTACTCGACCTTATCCTGTCAACCAGAGTGGTATAACCAATGTACAGTAAACTCAGACTGCTGCAGTGGCAATTGTGAAAAAAATGATGACTGGAAGTATGGTGTTTGCAAGAAAAGTAAGTACAATGTCAAGGTACTATTTCTAAGACGAACGATTGAGATCACCATGAACCTCATATTTCCACATTTTATATAGAAATATGTCAACCAGAGTGGTATAATCAATGTACAGTAAACTCGGACTGCTGCAGTGGCAATTGTGAGAAAGATGATGACTGGAAGTTTGGAGTTTGCAAAAAGGGTAAGACTAATGTTAATCAAACATAATTATTATATGGAAATAAATACATTTTCGAATTGTCGCAAAACGACAATACACATGACTAACCATTCCATACAAACTGTGATCTTATTTCTTCACATTTTATACAGAAGTATCCTGTCAACCAGAGGGGTATAATCAATGTAAAATAAACTCGAATTGCTGCAGTGGTAATTGTTACAAACCCGCTGACTGGGAGTTTGGTATATGCAAGAAGGGTAGGTTCAATGTTACAACCATCTATAGACCTGTGTACAGGTAACCGAATTGTGTACAGTGAAAATGAGTTCTTTTCTCGCATATCTTTGTGCATTTCAGTCCAATGTAGCAAGAGCTCACATTGAAAGATTTACATTTATATCTAGATCACATTTTTAAATTTACAAAAATCTATATCTTATAGCTAGATGACTAGAAATTATATCCATTTAAAACAGTCTAGGATTCCATAAATATATTCAGTGTATTGGAAATTTGCATTAATTTCAGAAGAGTTAGCATGCTTGGAATCCCTGGAAACCGGATGTGACCAAACCAATTGCTGTGATGGATTGCAATGCTATAACGGACCCGATTCTAACTGGTTTCGAGGAATTTGCGTTGACGAGACGCTTATGGAAAATATTCTCAAACTCTCGAATAAAAATGAAGTGCAAAGTAAGTTAAAATCAGGACACCGACTCTTTTGGAAAAACAAGAAACAATCTTGACATTTACAGCCATATTTCTCTTGAATATAGACAACGAAAATGAAGTGGATAATTACTTGGAATTTGTTAAAAATTATTTTCTCGATCAAAATGGAATCCTATCCGAAGATACAAGGGTAAAGTGCAGAGACATAGATCCTAAGGGTTCATTCTTTTATCGATATGACCAAGAGTATTCATTCCGAATTTGTGATGCATGCAAAGAGTTGCCCATAAGAAAAAAAGACGCCATTAGAATCGATGAACTCCCGATTAATACGATAAACTCGACCACATTTGATGAATGTTTCGGTGAATGTGTTGACAATAATATGTGTGTTGCATGCTCATTTGACAAACAACAAGGTCAATGCCAACTATTCGACACTGTTGAAAGTAAATTTGAAGATTTGGATAACTGGCTAACATTGGTTATTCCACAGCCGGTGGATGTGCTCAGAGATTATGTTTACAGCAGAAATACCATGCTCAAATGCATTGAAAACACTACTGAAATTCATGCGGCAAATTCAATGCTCGATTGCTTTTCATTGTGTGAAAAAACCAACTGTAGTTTGGCTGAATTTTCACCATCAGGTGTATGTTTAACGGTGAACGACTCTGAGAATTGCTTCACAACTTTCTACAAATATGGACACACATCACTATTTTATAAAGATTATTTTAACAACGATATATCTTGGAGATTCAATATTTCTGACGGAGAAATTTTTCCATATGTACAAGGTACTAACATTAGAAACATTTCAAACAGACTCAACCTGAAAAACAATTTATTTCACATATTCGGCATATTTTTTTTATCGCTTGGCATCACTTAGTCTATCGAGATGCTGCATTTATATTGATTTTTTATATACTTTTTTTTTGTTTTCATAGATCAAGGTGCAGATAATACTAGTCAAGTATCTGAAACATCAAGAACTGGGTCTGTTTCGAGCGAAAAATTATTGCGCGAATTGAAACAACTGCAAGACATTCAGTTTTTTAAAGAATGCCAGAGAAAATGTTTGAATCTTACAACTTGTATTGGTATCGATTTCAACAAGCAAGACTATGATTGTAAAATGGTTGATGTAAGCAAACTCAACACATTGACCACAAATTCGCTGTCGGTAAACTACACAAGGATTCGTCTAATTCATCCACGTAAGGAAAGTACCATTTATGGCTTTGCAGCACAATTAATAGCAAGGTAATTTGATGAAGCATTGAAACTGCCACCCTTTTCTCTCTTTTACATATTTGACCTACTTTAGTATGTTTGTCAAATTTCATCAATTTACCTGGAGTAGACCAAATAGAAATTCATCAATCACACAATTTCAAAATTCCATTTTCAGATATTCGACCATCAATTATAAAAAAATGAGTACACAGATCAGTATAATTGATTGCATTGAAATGTGTAAGAAACAGGATGAATGTAAAGATGTGTTATACAATTACTCTGACCAAACATGTCTAATAGTCGATGATTTCATTGGAAATAATCAAATAAATGTTGTCAACAAAGATAAATGGATCATGTTTAGCAGGAATAGGCCCAGCTTCAATCAGTCGGAGTTTAAATTCACGCTTATTGGACGCAATAAGCAACTGGCGAATCAGCATGATCAATTTATAACTTTGACAAACATATTCCCAAATTCGGATGGTGTGAATGAGTGTTTGTCACTTTGCCTCGAAAGGAACAATAATAGCGATACATGTAATCTTGCTCAAGTCGAAAGATCAAGTAATTCGATCAAGTGTAAATTGTACAATATTAGTTTATTCGATCAAACAATCAATAGTGAAGATATTCTGTACAGTAATTTGTATTTGGTAACATTAAACAAAAATTTCGATCAATTTGACCTTGATCAAATGCCAATAATGAGTGAAGAAGATGCGATTAATTGCGAGATTGATAAGGAGTCAATATTATTAGATCAACTCTATCGCTATTATTCAAACAATCAAACGTCAAACGTTCACAAAAGATCTAAAAGGGGATTTTGGAAAAATGTTGGAAACTTTTTTAAAGGTAAAATAAATTCAATATTGATAATTTTATACAGATCAGATCCATATGCTACTGTATCTCATTTAATTTATAGGTGTTGGAGATTCAATCGTCAAAACTGTAAAAGATACCGTTGATACTGTTGTCGGAGGTGCTAAAGCTGTCGGTAAATTAGTAAAAGGTGATGCCAAAGGTGCACTTAAAGAGGTAAAAAAGACTCCACTTTATAAACAGGGAGAAGAACTAGTTGAAAGTGTTAAACAAGTGGGTGAGGGTATTGGCGAAGGGAATTTTAAAAAAATTGGCGAAGGATTGCTTGGGGTAGCCACTAACGATGTGCTCGGTTTTATTCCTGGGCAAAAAGCACTGGGAGTTGGAGCAAAGGCTATCAAGGAAGGTATTAAAAAAACGGTCAAAGAAACGGCAAAAAAAGACGTCAAAGGTGCCAAAGATACAAAAGATACCAAGGATGACATCGTCGAAAAAAGTTTCAAAGATAAGAAAAGTGAAACGAAAGAGAAACGAGATGATAAAAACGAACAATGTCCGGCAAAGGACAACGGTCGGACAAAACGTGCCGCAGGCAGTAGTAGCACAAATAACGGCTGCTCTAACAACGATAACAATGCTAAATGTAGGAAACCTACGATCAGAAGAGGTGATGGGAGGAAAGTTTTGACGAAAACGCTAGTTCCATGCACAAATTCTAAAGTCGGTGAGACATGCAGATACTTGTGTAACGCTGGCTTTAATGAGAATCCAAGTGCTCTCACTTGCAAACCAAAAGGTATATGGGATGCCCAAGCTGCGTGTGAGCCACAAATATGTGGAGCTGATGGTTTTATACGTGTTGAATCGTCCACAGTTGGAACAGTGCTAGATAATAAGAAAGACAGTTCAAATGCAAATATGCTTTTGTATCTGGTTAAGTTTGATGAGTCGAAAAAGTTACCGATTTACTCGGTGGTATATTATAAATTCAACCTGATCTTCGGGAAGTTCAATGACAGAGCAGATAGTTTCAGACCTCATCCATGCACCCGTTTGATTAGTAGACAAGCGTATAATAATGACTATACAAACAATGCATATGGTAAGATATAGCTGAATATGCTATTGTTTATAACTTGCTATAATAAAGTGTTTTTCATTTCAAAATAGGATTCCAACGAGGACATTTAACTCCAGCTGATCTATTCAGATGGAATGAAAAGGCGGGCAATTCCGGAAATCTTCTCATCAATGTTGCGCCGCAATCAGGCAAGATGAATATGGGCTCTTGGAAGACACTGGAGGCCGCCGTTCAATGTGCGGCTCAGGAGAGAATCAAAGCAATTGTGGCCACAGGTATTGCTGGCACCTCCAACTATAAAATTGGTGGAGGCATTGTTGCGCCCAAATATTTTTGGAAGTTGGTATGTTATCGCGATAACAAATCATTGAAAACACACGTGGCACTTTTCGTCGGCGATAATGAACCAGTTAAAGATGAGACGAAATCAATGAAAGAATTTACATTGACACCCAGATCTCAGAAAGACCTGGCCACATTTGATTCCAGTATTTTAACTTCCCACAATCCTTGGCAAGGTGTACTTAAGATGAAAGAAAAATTCGCCCTGATTGGACGATATCCAACGGCAGCAGAATGTATGGCCGCCGATGATCTAGCAGATGATCAAGTAAAAATATGGAAGAGCCAGTTTAGTGTATTCGATAATAAAAAGAAGAGAAGCACCGATGGAGCATCAGTCGAACCATTTTGCAGCAGATCGAAACTTGACGAAATTCTTGCTATGAATTTGTCGGTTCAGGACGATGATAATAATGATGATGTTAACGAAGGGGAAGATACTGGGGAAGACCCCAATACTGAAGATGACTTCGATGGAAATGCAAATGTTCCTACTAGTAGTTGTGGCAAGAGGATCGTGGGCTATTATCCTTCTTGGACCAAAACACCATTGTCTGCAGAACTGTTGTCAAAATTTACCCACATCATTTTCGCCTTTTTGGAAATGAAATCCGATGGCTCAGTTGGTATTGGTAATCCCGATCATAGCAGTGCACAAACATCAACAGACACTGAGGTTGAAGAGTTGGCTAGATTTAATTTGAAATCCCTAATGAGAAACAAAGCCAAAGTGCCCGGATTAAAAGTGACATTTGCTGTTGGGGGTTGGGAGAATTCGCAGTACTTTAGTTCGATGGCTGCCAATCCAACACTTAAGCAGATATTCATCGCTTCAGTTCTCAAGATAATCGATGAGTTTGACTTTGATGGGTTAGACATAGACTGGGAATATGCAGTCACAGGTGGTGCACATGAGGGTATTCCTCAGGTTAGTTTGAATATTTTTTAGATTTTGAATTTTAGACGAAAAATGTGAATTTTTCCTTTTTCAAGGACAAAGAAAACTACGTCAGTCTGCTGAGGGATTTGAGGGGCGTGCTAGAGACAAAATTCAGTGGGCGGTATTTAATCACATTCGCCAGTGCCGCCGGTGAAGATGCGCTTAAGAATGGCTATAATCTACCGGAGCTTCTCAAATACGCGAATTGGGTCAATGTTATGACTTATGATTTCTTTGGTCCGTGGACCAGCAAATGGGGTTCGAAGTTTTATTTTTCAAAAAGAAGAATACATGATTTTAACGAAAATTCATTTTAGGTGCCTATACTGGACCTCCGGCACCTCTGTATCATCATGTGCCCAAGGGTTATTCGGGTAAGTTCAATGTGAACTGGGCAATAAAACAGTATGTTTGCGATTTAAAATCGCCCGAACAAGTTGTTATGGGTGTACCACTTTATGGTCGGTATTGGCACAATGTTCCCGATAGACAAGACGAATATGCAATGTATAGATTGGCAAATCCAGTAGGTGGAAAGTTTGATGGTGGTTTTGTTTCTTGGCGGGATATCAAATATAACTGGCTCACAGATCCAAATTTTCAAACACACTTTGATGACAAAGTCAAATGCCCTTACGCGTACAATCAAAATGGAACATATCTCGGGTAAATTGAAATAACTAACAAATATTGCAATTTTTTCAATTTGTTTTATATTTTCTATTCAGCTATGAGTCACCCGAATCAATAAGATTCAAAATTGAATTCGCAATCAAATCGAATTTGGGCGGTCTTATGGTGTGGGCAATAGACCAAGATGATAACGAACAATCAATGATCAACCAGATATCGCAGGCCAATTTATGCACCAATGATAATTCAGTTAATTTCAAATGTATTCCCATCAAAGAGAAGCGATGGTGGACTTTGGTGGATGGTGAAGATATGGGTGGCCTGTGCGGTAAGAGCGCACCATTGTATCGCGGTTATTATCCGGTTTGTGATCCAGATGATTTAGGCTATAGTTGTTGCGGAGCCTATGGATATTGTGGCTCGGGTAAAGAATTCTGCGATTGTCCCACGTGTGTTAATTACGCAGACGATCCCAATAAAATTTTGGCCGAACCAACTAAACCAAGCACAGATAAGATAACGTGGCATCTTTCCAATGCCCCTGAAGGTCAACGGGGTCGCTGCGGTAGAGATGTACCTAAAGTGAACGGAGAATATGCTACCTGTAATTCAGATGACCCCAATTCATACTGTTGTTCTAATGGTGGCTATTGTGGACAAGGAAAGTACTTGCTAATTTAGTAAACAGCCCGATACGTAATTGTAGTTGTTCGGTAACATTGTTTTTTTTTTCATATTTTAGGTGACAATTTTTGTAAATGTGACGGTTGTATCAATTTCAAGAATAACCCTAATTATAAATACCCTGCAAAGACCTGGTGGTCATGGAGTGATGGTGCAGATAAATCTGGAAAATGCGGACCAAACGCACCAAAACTGGCTAACGGTGGTGAGCCTGGATGCGATCCGGATTCAGAAAATTATTGCTGTTCTAAAAATGGCTACTGTGGCTCGGGAAATGATTTTTGTCAGTGCTCAGGGTGTAAAAATTATAAAAACTGAGCAATACATAATTAATTTATCAAGTCGACCAGTGTCCTTTTTTCACTTCTGTTCACACTCTCGACAAAGTCATAGTGAAAAATTTATATATAAAATAATCTTTGTGCTTTGAATATTCACCTACCAGCCTTTCTGATCATGAAAATAGTAAACAATACAGCGGCACCTGGGGGCTAAGTGCACAGTCGCATACTTGTTACAGCAAACTATGTGCATGATTCTCTATTTCTCCAACCAGTCGCCAGGTGCCACTTTATTGTTCTTGTTTGACGTTTCCTATCTATTTGTACAGACGATCAGAGAGGCTGTCACCTACAGAAAAATTGATGTTTTTTTTTTGGAATATTATGTTAAATAAATTGTGTTTGAGTAATGTTTTTCTTCACTTTTACTATCGGGAAAAACAATGGAAAACCCCTACAATGTTTATTGCAGTTTATTGCCGTCTTAAACTGAACTAACTACTTTGATTTATATTTGCGTGCAAATTCCATTGGTTTAGTATACATTTCGGCATTTTCGAGAATCTTTCCTTTCAATATTATAATTTGTGAATCTTAGTAAATCTTAAATTCGTTGGCATTACTATTTTCCGACGTTTTTATGTTATTCACAGCCAAAATTTGAAATTATAAACATTGAATTATCGAAAACAGAATATTTTGCATAATTTTATTCGATATTGGAAATACAATAAAAAATATTGGAAACAAAAGTAACGTTGAAATATCGATAATATCATGAACTGCGCTAAATAATTCAATCCAATCCGAGTAATAAGCAACTCTGATGATCTCTTTCACTGTAAGTTTTCGGAGGGGAATGAGTAATCTAGATACAGTGCGAAATAGCGGTTTCAACTGTTTTTGGATGAATTTACACCAATTTTAGGGGAAAATGTGTTATTGCTTATGCGAACGCTCAAGTGGCTACTATTCATATTCGTGTCAATACATAGACACTAGGGTGGTTTTTTTTTCGGACTTTTTCGAATTTCACATGCGGCAGTATTTTTTCAGGCGAGGTTGGTCATAAAAATAAGCCCTGTAAATTTTTAGCCCGATCGGACAACGTTTACCCGTGCCTCATCGGCCTCAAAGTTTGGAGCTTGGGCCCAAGGGAAATCCACAAAATCATGCATCTGAAAACCCCACTTCCGGTAAACCGATCATCATGAAACTTTCAGAATCTTATTTATTCACCAAACAATGGAAGTTTCAGGCGGATCGGAGCATAAATAGAGGTAGCTCCCATACAAATGATCGTATTTCCATCATAAAATCGGCCAAAAAAGGCAATTTTTGTATGGGAGCTACCCTTGAATCTCATCCGATTGGCTTCAAACTTTCTGAGATTTCAAACAAAAAGCTCGGACGCGAACGCGAACGACGCCATACGCACATCGCTATTTTGCACATATTACTTTTCCGCAAACTTGTTTGTTAGGTAAAGTATTGGTTTTACTAGCCAAAATTTCATGACATCTCCTCTTTCGGACCACTATAACGTCACGCCAAACTTGAAAAAGCACATATCTGTACACTAGGCAATGTAGATGGGATCAAATCCTATCGATCAAGACCTATATGCCCCCAAAAACATGTTGTTTACTATGAAATATGTGCAAAATAGCGATAGGCGTATGGCGTCGTTCGCGTCCGAGTTTTTTGTTCGCCGATTATCTCAAAAAGTTGACAAGATAATTGAGATCTGTAAAAGCCAAAAGTTTTGGCATGTCGAGACAAAGCTTCGGATTGATTTTGAGCCCATTCTGATTTACCAATTTCGTACCATAAGCCTCCGACTGAGGACCTGAAAAACCTTGAAAAATGACACTTTTGTACGGGAAGTACCCGAAAAAAGCATTTTTCAGGGTTTCGATCAAGGAAAACTGCCATTTTTTGCAAAAATAATGGGAGTCTATGAACAACCGAACACCTACTTGCCCATAAATTTGGTCCGAAATCGACATTTCTTGAAATTTTCCTCGAAAAATAGACTTATTGTATAAAAAATCACTCAGAAAGCCATTTTTTAGGGTTTTGGTCAAAGCAAACTGATATTTTTTTGCAAGAATAATGGGAGCCTTTGAACAACCGAACACCTACTTGCCCATAAATTTGGTCCGAAATCGACATTTCTTGAAATTTTCCTCGAAAAATAGACTTATTGTATAAAAAAATCACTCAGAAAGCCATTTTTTAGGGTTTTGGTCAAAGCGAACTGATATTTTTTTGCAAGAATAATGGGAGCCTTCGAACAACCGAACACCTACTTGCCCATAAATTTGATCCAAAATCAACATTTCTTGAAATTTTTGAAATTTCGTTCGAAAATGACACTTTTGTATGGAAAATGGTCGAAATAGTTATATTTTAAGGTCAAAAATACTACGAAAAAGAGGTCTATTGAAATTTTGGTTAAACATTAAGCGGGAGGCAAACTAAATTGCTGCGGAGCGGAAAATTTTGGATTACGTATGTAATTCGTTTTATTTCATAGTAAACAACATGTTTTTGGGGGTAGATAGGTCTTGATCGATAGGATTTGATCCCATCTACATTGCCTAGGGTACAGATATGTGCTTTTTCAAGTTTGGCGTGACGTTATAGTGGTCCGAAAGAGGAGATGTCATGAAATTTTGGCTAGTAAAACCAATACTTTTCCATACAAACAAAGTTGGCGGAAAAGTAATAAGATATGAAATAAGCATACACACAGAGAAAACTGAATTGGTGAACCCTGCCAGTTCTATTGGTGAAATGCAAAAGTACCAATAGATTACATTATTGAACCCTGACGGTCTATTGGTGAAATGACATATCACCAATAGAACTTATTTGCTTTAAAAATGTTGTTTTGTATGTGCATAAAGTAAAATATATCAGATGAAAAACCTCTAGACAAGGTTAAAATGGAGTGACGCTCCTGTGCGTGGATTCACCACTCAAAATGACTGATATCATTTTGAGTGACGCTAGGACGCTGTATTACTGGGAACGAAGTTCAAAAGTGTTTTTCGCATTCACTATTGTGAAAAATTTATTTACAATAAGGAAAAATATCGCGTCACAATCTCAAATAATTACGAGCTGAGTTTGCCCGATGGGTGTCTGAGTTGATCTAAAGTGCGAAATAAATACTTGAAAAAATCGTATACATGCAGGCTAGTGAAGCCATAGCCAGTTCTCCTGAATGAACTGCTCATCATTACTGTGAGAATTACTGGGATACATGCGCTTGTGTGTATTGGTTGGCGCTGACAATGATGTCTGTTTTGTATCGGAATAAAATATTGTTCTCTTTATGTCTCACTTTCTTTTATGTATTCATGTTCAAGCGTTTCAGAGGTAAATTCTTGTTCTTATTGTCCATTTTTCGCTTTCATCTAACTGTGTGCGTGTATTGAATGGTGCACAGTGCACACTGCACACACAAACGATCACGACACTGCTCTCCATTTATGCCTTTCGTTTCTCCTTCCCATTTATGTGTGTTTTTCAAACACGCACAATGATGTATGTGTGAATGAAACGCGCGCCATGAGTGTGTTGTGCACTGGCTTTGACAAAAAAGCAACAAGCAAACGGCTTGCAATGCAGAAAGCGAGGCGAACGTTTTTGTGTATTGATTTGTATTTGATATAAAAATATGGAATCAAAAAATGGAACTAAAATGGCCCCGTTTTTTTAATATATATCAGCACAGTGTGCAATGCACACCCCCGATGATATACACACACATTCGGTGCCCCTTACAGACTCTCTCCCTGTGTCCCTCTCTCCATCTCACGCGGGTCACGTTCATTTCGTTCCTATGGTCTCAATTCTGCACGCGCGCTTCTTCATTTTCACAACGCATTGCCTGCATATGTGACTTATGAATTTTAAAATTTGTCTGAATATTTCAAAACAAACTATTTTAATTTCTCACAAATTCAATAACGAATCCAGAAAAATAATAACGACACAAAGAAAATTTGGTTTTTGGAAAAACAGTTCGGAAAACAATGGGAAAAAATCACTTTTACTTAAGCGGCTATAATTTTTTTTTGGAACGTCAAACACACATGGTGAGTAGTTATAAACCTCCCTGTTGAGGTCCCGAACACACCACAAAAAAAGATTATCTCCAGTCAATAGCTCAAACATCTTAGTCATGCATTAACTAACTTGCATTTATATATATAGATAACGCTACATCACGCATTGAACAAAAAAGTACCCTTCTGGTGGTTGCTTCAGAAATCGTCCAAAAAATGAAAAAACCGTCCAAAATTCTCATAAAATCGTAACACATAACATATACTGTGCACTCCAGCATCACATGCATTAAATTCCACACGCGCAGCGGTTTTTTCATTCCATCTGTATAAATACAAAAGTGTTGTGTTGGGCTAAAGCCTTCTTCGAAAATGATTATTCGTCTATCATGCGACGTTTCGCTCTTGTTAGAAGCATCATCAGGCTGGAGAACAAAAATGTTCACAAAAAACAAGGAGTGTGTAATGTGTATTAATACAATTAGCAACAGCCAAAATTTATCAAATTACGAACCAGTTACATATGAATTTAAAATGTTTTCGAACGTATTCCATTTTTTGCTATCAATTTACAATTGTATCAGCTACATGTGTCTATCAAAAGAATTTGGTTATTGAGCTTCATTGAATGTTTGAACATGATTACACTATGCAACAGCAAAAGACAACCACAGAAAAAGGAACTTATTTCCAATGTTTTTGGGCCCACTTAATCCAAATCTGGCGTTAGTTTTGCTCTGGCACGTCTAGTTTTCAAGATACACTTATTACGGTTTTCGTATCAGATTTGGATTAAGTGGGCAAAAAACCTTGGACTCATTGTCTCCTCTCTTTGGGAGAGTTTCGTTTTCGAAATTTGTTGCATAGTGTTAGTAGACCTCAATTCTATATTCCATAACTGTAAAATACTAAACTTCATCAATTATTCGTTGCAGTACACGTGCCAGTTATTGGTAGATGAATGGTATAAAAAAGGCACCACCGCATAGGGAAGACCAAACGAATTCAAAGGATCTTCTGAAGAAGTACAAGACCGTTCTCTACTATCA